TCTTCGATTTCCTTTCCAGCTATGTTTGTATCCTTGTAACCCCATCTGGTGGAATGGGCGTTGAAGTCTCCTAATACTACAGTTTTGTGTGAGATGTTCAGAAAGTCAAAGTTGGGACAATTCTGGGGTGGATTATACACTGCATATAACTTGAAGTGGTTTTGACATTTCCAAACATTTGATCTGATTATTTCACATTTGTCTTGTGTCGAGCCCATACTCTTGATTAGATCGTAGTGTGAGGTGAGCCCTTCTTTTACTCCAGTTAGAATTCCACTTGCAACTTGCCGGTATTTAGGTAGAAGGTACAGAGTGTAACCTGGGAATTGGTAGTACTTCAGTTTGTCGTCCGAAAGGTTTGCTTCCATAATTGTGAAAATGTCCACATCAGAGGTTTGTAGAATTATCTGGACTTGGATCTTTTTGTCCTTTGACATCCCTCCAGCATTCCACCGGAGGATCTGAAGACGTTGTGATTCGCCCTGACGAGGGCGATTTCTCTTATAGCCTTATTTCAAGCTAATTATAATAATAGAAGTCAAATCAAATGCCGAGTGATAGACTTTTTTGCCGTACGAAGATACGTTGTCCAGGGTGCACCACGTGGAGGTAAGTCTATCGCGCACCCCTGATAAGCACAGTAGTAGACTTCTTTGCTCAGTAGATTGGTTGTATAAGGATGGCCCCGAAATCACCTGCCAATTTATTGCACAGATATTCCCTACAGAGAGCCGGTTTGTGAAAGGAAGCTTACGTTTAAGGAACTTCAAATAACAGTTGACCCTCATTTCTAATAACCGATTCCTCAATTCCGTCTTTAACTGGGAACACGAATTGAAAAGGCATGGATCAATTCGCCAAGCGATCTAACCGAGAAGATAAGTGAGTCAAAACCGCCCAATGCATACTAAGCTATCCTTCCCGCAACATTAAGATGTCACCTTAATAAGTCAGCATCCGCCCTTCACTCTCAAAGCCTATGTGAAATGGCTTAGAATCAGCACCGCTAATTTACCCCTCCCATCCTCTTAATCTTGTCCTCGCCTGCAGTGCATAAAACGTGTTTAGGACAAGAATTTCAATCGTTTTTGAATGGGTAAGATTATTACGCAAGTGCTTTCCATGACTCTGTTCGTTGAGGGTTAAATAAAGACGTCATCTTAATTATCCAAAGATATAAACATAGCTTTGCACTTTCTTTGCATATAAACCATGGAGAGGGGGAGAGATATGTAGAAATTTTTACTTGCAAAACAAGAATTTAAATTTATGTATGCAAACATTGAAAGGGCTTCCGGTTTAGTACGAATATGGAAAGAGAAATAGTTTAGTCAAGAAGGTAGTTTATGCATTTTCTCTCATGGCATACATCGTGCTAAAATCCTATTGGGTAGGGAGGAAATGCTGAGGGGCAAAAATTGCGGAGGAAAAATTTCGTGTCCTAGTTTGGCTACCATGACCGCACTGTTTGTCATATTCGACCACTTGCACAGTACCCATCTTACCTTTTTCACTACCTTTGTGTCTGTCTCTATTACATCTGTGAGTCACTCTTCTGTTCCCGCTCTCGACATTTTTGTGACTTTGATGTTCCTGTCTGTTCTCCCTCTCGAATTTTTCTCACTTTGATGTTTCTATCCCTCTGTGAAGCCCGAAATCAGCTAAATGGCTAATGATGACCTCTGTGAAGCCCGAAGTCAGCTAAAGGGCTAATGATAACAATCTCAAAGCCTGCCATTTGATATTAATTAATTTGAAGAGAAACAACAAACTTCTATAACAGATTTTGACTAAGCGACATTCTTTTGAGGTTTGCTTAAAACCAGCGAAGTCTTGGAGTGAGACCGATAGCTCTGTGATGTGTTTGAGAAAGAGTCCTACTTCCTACCTCGGTTTAAACGAAGTAGTCGGACCAAAAATGCAAACTAACGAACCTTAACAATTAAAATGTCAATTTAGGCCGCTTGATTAATGGCTTAATTTGGCAAAATCTTTGAGCAAATTGTAACAATAATCAGCACTGTGAAGACCAAGCAGTTTAGAATTTAAATGGATGTTTACAAACTGAACCCATAAATGTTCAATTCAAAGACGTACTTGTAGAAAATTAAATTGATTGTAACTTGTTACCCTTAAAACTGAATTGTAAGGGTGCGAAAATTTGCTGAAAAAACACAAAGTCTCCATAACTACATCCTAAAAGAAGCTATTTACACTGGCATATCAGTATATTTTTCTTATCTACACGTTAGCTAACGAGGAAAATTAGACAAGCAAAAGGATGCGTCCTAAAGCTAATTTAAGAAGAGAATTTTATAAATTAAAGAAGAAATAATAAATAGTATGACTATATGAAAAGGTGAGCCTGATTTGTTACTCGACCATCGATGGGGGGGGAGGGGGTATTGAGTCGAGACGAACGGGATTTTGAAAAGAAGATGTAATTATTGCTACTCAACAAGGGAGGAAGAGAATAAGGAGGAAAGAAGACTGGAAGAAGTGATGAAGAGGAGGGAAGGTGGGAGAGGGGATTGTGATCCTCAACAGATTCTCCAACCTAGTGATCCAAGATGTGCAAATTACCTGAAACTATCTTGTTCTCCAGTTGGGAACCCTTCGGGAGACAAATCTTTTCTCCATGGTTTGCAATGATAATAACCGTTCCCTAAAAAGATAAGTAGGGCAGAAATTACAATTCGTAATTGATTACACCTCAAGTCCCAAGATTTGGTGTAGTTTGTGTTTCAGTGATCAACTTGATCAAAGGTTTCAAAATTGCATATTTTGAGGGTTCAGAAGGGTTGGGTATGGAGAGTCCTTTCTTGTTGATGAAATTTCCATCTGATATAATGTGTGATTGAAGTCTCTTTGTCTAACGTCCCTCGTAGATTGAGATATATGAAAACTTTCCGACTGCAACTTAACCTCGTTGGGTCTCAATAGTGGAGCTTATTCTCCACTAGTAATTTCCTAACCCCTTACTTAAGAAATCGAAGAAAGATTATGCACATCGTCAATTGGGGAAGTTGGAAACATTATTATGTGGCAGTCTCGTTTTTCTATAGTCTAATTATTGGACTAATTTGAACCCGACTGGAAGGTCAGGTAAATGACAAATGAGGTGTTAATATTAGAGGTTGGATGAAGCATAGCGTTTCATGAGTACACTACACCTGGGCAAAACTTTAATAGCTTAGCGCAAATACTTCGAAAATACTGCTTGCAAGGCCATTAAAGCATAAAAAGTATTCTAACATTATGAATTTCATTCCAATAAAGGAAAGCATAATTTCTTTGTCGAAGTTAAGCACTAACTCACTGTATCTGTATGCAGTAACTCGAAATGAAACTGGAATAAAGGTGTACGACAATCCACCATAGTAATACAAAAGTTCAAGCTGAACGCTAAACCAAACATTTTAAACGACTGAATCAAGTGAATTAAGGGTATATATATAATTTTTATTTAAACCCTCGTACGAAAAAAGGAGAGCTCTAACTTGCATGACGAAAGGATTGCTTTTATTCATATATTACATAGAAAAAAGAGGTATTTTTTACCAAGACGGGCCTGTTAGCTTACTTTATTTAGCAATCAGCTCTGAAAAACACTGCAGACTAGGATATTAGCACGTAAATAAAAACCTTCCGATTTGTCAACTTAGGCCCCTTATCAGAGACTGCAGTAACAGACTTCAAATGTTTTGGTCTGTGAAACTCAATGGTTGGCTACATGGTTTTGTGAAATTTGGATATCTTTTCTTGTCATTTCCATCTCCATTTCACCCGCTAAATTCCGAGTTTGAACGATCCTGCTGCTCACCTATACTTTATTTCAATGCTATGCGGTTGACACTGGTGTTCAGGCAGGTATTTATTCCCCCATAAACCGAAATGTATTTCAATAGAGTGCCCCCTCACTGAGAGTTCAAACTTACGATCATGTCGCCCAAGAGAGAAAGAGAACAAAAAATTCCACGCCTTAGGGTGTGTATATGCCAACACAAGCTAAATAGAAACCCCACCCCATATCCGAAAATTACGCTCCACTACTAACCACCTTAATTGTATTTATTCAACTAACATGTAAACACGGAAACGCAGATTAGCAACGAGAGGTCTAATTTATCGCCTGAAAAATCGAGTTTAAAATCCTTCGTTAATATCGAAATGAGAAAACTAGAACCAAGATCTGGGATGGGAGAAAAGTGGGAAAAAAGTTCCAACCGATAAGCGTTCAGTGCAGCACAGTAGTCACGTACATTGGCCAAACACGTCTTGCTAAACCGTGATTAAAACCAAGGCCAACAGTACGCAGCACAAAGGAAGGGAGATGTATATGTGATTGGCCTTCCAATCATAGCTAAAATCTTCACTCACCTTGAGGGAGACATTTTGACCAATAAAGACATTGCCAGCGATTGTCAAGTGGTCCAACTCGAGCAAATCAGGAATATTGGCAAAACGCGACAGAAAATCTTTGACCTTCTTGAACTCTCCACCCAGTTTCACCAAAGGCACAGAGGGGAAGGAGCGCTTGGGTGACATCATAATTCTGCCATTGTCAAGTGTGTAGAGGTTCGACATGAGCAGCAAAAGATCGGAAGTGGTCTTGACAGGTAAGAAACGACTACGAGGGACATTTATACCGATTGCTCCCTTAAAATTGCGAATAGCTGCACCAGCAGCCTCTTCCAATTGAATAATATTAAGACCAGAGTCAAGGGTTTTGGGATTGCGGATTATTTCCATTGCCATTTGATCAGTCCTCACCAGTTCCTCCACCTCACTCAACTTTGCCCATAGATTATTGGTGTTGAAGATACGAAACTTGCGTACACTAGTGAATTCATCAACGTGTTCTTTGGGCACCTAAAGCATGTTAATAACCAGATTAGTCACACACACACACCCCCCGCTCCAATCAATTTGTTTCAAATGGCATAACCGACTTACTTGAGCTATTTCAAGAAGTCTTAGACGACCCTCATAGCCAACAAGGGTGCCACCTTTAACATCAGCTCTGGTCTTATCCGTAACCTCCATAACAAAGCCAGGAGCATTAACTGGATCCGAACAGAGGAAGTTGATAATATCTAGGAAAAAAGTAAGGTTATAACGTTTAAAATACACTTAGTATGGTACAATACAAATCGCAGCTCATTAATCTGATCACCTATCATCTTGAGCCCAAAAAGTACTTACTTAAATCCACACAAGCACCAAGATTGTCAATATTCGAGATGAAAATCCACTCCTTTCCAGCCTTACGCATCTTTTCGGCCAGTCCAGAGTCACAGAAACGACGGTAGACATCACCGTGACCTGGTGGGTACCAACCTGAGAGATCAACTGCGGGTTGATCAAAGGACTCAGATTTCTTTGATCCAATTAGAAGGTTTGAATCAATTTGTTTTACAATCGGTAACAAGGATTCACGGTTCAAGCGCGGGTACCTTTTTACATTAAAAAGACGAATAAGCATAATTCTTTGGATTAGATCACGAAAACCATTCAGATCGAAACACACATGCTCTGAACGAAGGTTTCAATTTCAACATTGACCTTTTGATATTTCTTCAAAACTTTGGCGGTCTCTTCTTGGGTGTTGAAAGAGTTCATCAATACAAGTGGAATATTGCAACCGTAAGTGTTATTGAGGTTCTGAAAATAAAAAAACGACGAATTGAATATCACGATATCATCGAGACGACTTAATACAATTAAGATGTTTACAAACCTCAATTTGTTGTATGGTTAGATCCAAGAATGTGAGGTCATTGCGAACAGAAATGAGGGACTTAGGACCAGTACATCCCATACTTGTTCCCAAACCACCATTAAGTTTGATGACGACTAATTTGTTCAGCTGTTCTTTAATAATTCCAGGGTCAGTAGGTTTAGGCAACTTTGAATATGACTTCAGCTAAAATTTTCAGATAAAAAATAACCACACATGTGTGTCTTAAATCTTATTCTTTCTGGAAATATTGAACACTTACATCATTATCAGGCAGCAAGCTAATCTTTTCCCACTCGATATCCTTAGTAGTTTCAATATAGCGTTTAAAGAGACAAAGAAAGGCCTGCATTTGCTGACAGAAACGCTCCTTTTCCATCTTCATGTTTTCAGGAATTCCTGACGAAAGAAAATCTAATTCATTGGCAAGAGCCTTAACGGCATCTTGGCGAGTAAGTTCTTTAAAGCCATTCATGGTGCCCTATTAATTAAATATGAAAATATATTTTAACCACAAATTATTGAAGACAAATATACCAAACGAAGAAATCGAAGCAAGAAACGTAAATGTTAAACATTTTAAATGCTATATTTTTATTGTCACTAATTGATGCATAGTGCCGGCAGTCGTGTTTCTTTAAAATTTACTCTTAAGTAAATGGACTCGAATATTTCTAGATTAATTGAAATTGAAGATAGAAGACAAGTAAAGCAACTTACGAGTAGACCGAGAGTATTCAGAGTGAGCGGTCCAACAATGCGATGCGCACTTTTAATTGCAACCTAACACGGTATAACAAATTTTCATAAATTCTCCTATACTACAAAATAATATGCTACTCTAATGTTAATTATTTTAATGATTCTTAAACATTAAAATTTGTTTTTGTTTTTGTTCTTTTTTAGATATTCACATGGATGTTTTGAAATATTATCTTTTTAAATTTGAAAAAAATTGCCATTTCTTTTACATCCTTGAGGGTTTCACAGACGCTGTGTATTTACGGTCATGCACACGGTTTTAACTTTATAATTACCATACCATTTATACATTCCTTATATTATTCCATACAAGCGTATTGAATATTACGAATAATTATGGTAAGGAAAATAGAGGAAATGTTCGTGTTTTCGATACAAAATATATCTGAGCTTAGTAAAGAAATCTAAAATATATTTACGTACAATCACGTTTTTTCCACGTCTACAAGTTGACTTAATTTTATACTTGGTCAAAACATCCACCTAATAATTTTTTTATTTAGAAATACTGTTATCGGTTACTACGTTTGCTCGAGCTCGTTCTGTAAAGAGTTTGCCAAATTAATTTGAGCAAGTTTCATAGGTCCAATGAGCCTTTTAAAATTGAAATATATTCAGATTTTATTTTCAGCCCATAAAAGCGTTTCACTAAATCTATCATATTTTAAAATGTAAACTACATATATGTTTGTAAAGTAAAGATGAATCCATTAGGAATTTACCACTATTTCAAAGGGTCCAAACCTATTTCCACTAATATCTGCAGAGTAGGTGCCTTGAATTTTACACGTTAATATTGCTTTAAACCGGATAAAATACCACTTACTGCTGTTAGCTTTCAGAAAGCACAGAATAACTGAGATGACATGATTGACTGCAAAATTTAACAGAATACCCTTGTGGTTGGGACAGCGAACAATGCATATTTCTTAAATTGGACAACAACTGCAATCAGAATTCAAATAAAGTTAAGTTCATAGATCACCCCAATCATATATATTTATCCTTATTCACCTCTTGCATTCCCCGTACAACCGCTCCATCTTCTTTCGTTTAGTTCAGAGAAGTGTTTTTCTCTAATAAGTATTTTTTGATACGCAGTGTGTTGCCATCAAAGCTAGATAATAATTGTAGCAATGAGCTCTTTGCAGATGGGTTAAATTTTGTAGGTTTAAGCAGGCTGAAACGATAGTCTTGCGCAAGAGGTATGAAGCATACGACCCGCGTTAAAATGTACAAAAATAATTCGATTAACCTTCCCAACGGTTACTTAATGGGATATTTCACCGTTGCCCAAATTCAGAAGCATTCTCATATTTCTTACTTTTACTTGAAAAATAGCAGCAAAACCCGAAATAACTATTGTTACATTTGGTTGTGATAAATACCAGCTTCATTCTATGCAAATGGGTTAACTTTCTTCCCTTTTCTGGCTTTCCCGAGTTATCTAAAATCACTGGCTTGAGTTTGTGGCCTTCGAAATCCACACGCGATAAAATGCACAACCAAGCATTCTGGAAAGTGCGGTCAAGTGTGCTGAAACTGTTCAGATAATCAGTGGTTGGTGTTCATTCAGATTGTTCTGCATGTACGCGCTAACTAATCATGCTCGCCGATATCATAATTTCAATAAACGCTTCACTCGCGATACGTCTTCCTCCTCTATGTCATTGCGATAGTTCAAGGTCGGAAGCCTTTCCATGTTTGCACAGCTACCACATTCATCCCGCTCCTTTCTACTTACTTGTATTAAAACTCGAGACCGAAAAAAGGGGTAAAAAGTATTCAATTCCCTCTGATAATTTATAAAAGGAGCGTTAAAACGGCGTCCATGTAACGTTACATAAAAGATATATACAAATACATAATGGAAAGGTTAGGTAACAGGCTACAATTTGACACAATTATTCACTATGCACTAAGTAATGGAAATAAATAAAGATTAATAAATTTCTAAAGACCTAAAAATGGAGCTCACTATCCACTCCACTTTATTTGTTTTCTGAATGTTAAAAAATCGCTGCTATGTAACAAAGCTCTCGTACCACATCAATGCAAAATTAAAAAGTTTTAGACTATTAGCAAAAAAGATTAGAGGCTATAGGGAAAGAAAAGCTCACCAATGTTTCACAGAATTAACAAATAATATGTTAATTTAATTTTAAATCACATTACTGACGATAAAATAATCAGATGGTAAAGAACAGACGAAGGAGACAAGACACATACTGCCCAATTTCAGAGCCACTGAGTTTCGATTTGCCATAAAGTCGATCAACAAATGAAATTCCAACCTATCGAAATAAAATGATGAGACGATGGAAGAAATCTCAAACCTCTCCAATTTTGTAACCCATGACTGAAGCGCGGGCCATCATCTCCATTTGGAAGACATAACCGCGTGAAACGGAACTTTCAATGAGCTTAGCCAACACATCCTTCTTGTAAAGTCTACAGTGGATAAGTCAAATACATTAATTACCGGAAACTGCCAGTCAAATCTGAAGCTCTGGGACGTAGCATGAGCTGCGCAAGGAAGTTGGCCCCCCGGCTAAAGTAGAAAATCAAGGCATGTAACCATGTAGTACGAACGTATAAAATATTTCAAAGACTGACCTTATAATCTTTCGTTTCAAATCCCATCCACTCACGCCACCACCACAAGCGTAACGCGTACCAGTAACAATGTCATAATCCATGCATTTTTGTAGCCTTAAAGAAATAAAAGAAAAAGATAATAACTTACTCGATGAAAGCCGGGAGGAATTTCGGCTAAATAAAGATAAAGTATAAAGAAAATATAAAGTATTACATTGTGAGAAAGATCTGCATCCATAATTATGATGAAATTGCCCTTAGCGAACTTCATACCATGAACATATGCAGTTCCAAGTCCTAACTTTCCTTTGCGCGGTTTTAGAACCTGAGAGTATGAAAAATAGCAAAAACTTACTATCTTATCACAGCCATAAATCTTTTGGAGCTGAAGTGCTGCTTCTTGTGTACCATCTGGACTGTTATCATCGATAATAATAACTTCATATTTATATGAACTAAAGAGAGGATGAAAAATAAGGTAACCCTACTTGCTACTCATGTATTTATCTATCAAATATATCATTAAAGGTAGATTTTCCTTCTCATTATAAGTTGGAAGCAATATAGAATAAAACGTCATTTTGTGGAATGTGAACAGTAAGATTAAGATAACACTTGTAACCTGAAGGTCAATGCTCATGCGCTCATGTGGCAACTGTAGGTCACATTAACCATTTTTTGTAATTATTCTGATGAGTATTTAAAATTAATGATAAAGGCCATATAAATAACCCATATCATTTTTATATAAGAATAGATGTTTTACATCCTGGTGATCCGACATTAGACCAAAAGTTTAGTTATCCACAACCGTATATGTAAAACACTCAGATGTTCGAATAACACTTATCGAAATTTTTCACAAATTTTGGAAGCTATATTTTCCTCTCCTTATAATTTTAAATAGAAGAGAAAAGAATATGAATCACAGACACGTGTACCGAAATTGGATCGAGTTACAGCTCTATCGATTGCCAAACACGTTGAACAAGCTATGAAAATATTTCCAATTAATTTTGTGACTACATTAGTTGCGAGGGAAATAAGAACTAATATCTAAATCAAGTTAAATTTCAAGGAAAGTTAGATATTATTATTGATTCACTGTGGCTTCTTAAGGAATAACATAGGAGAGTTGATAATAATGGAGTAAGTACAAATATAAGCGCTGAAATTTGCATTATGTGCGAATCAATGTGAATTTCTTTCTTTGCTATTCCGCAAGAATGCAATCGGGCTTAATAATTAAAGCAAGAGGAAACTTAAGTGAAGCCTGAATGCTGTTTGCACTTTGCATTTCCATGTTTTAGTGCCTTTTTCGGACAATATTTTATTAATTAGGCATTCTGCACACTTTAAAAGTAGATGCAGTATTGAAGTATGAGAAATGCGGGCAAAAACAAGGATTTTGCGATTACCTGCGACAAAAGTTTATAAAATATTAACGAATTCACCTACAATTTAACAAATTGAATCAAATCAATATGGTAATATAAATCTTAACGCAGAAGTCAATCCCTCAAAGCTGTCAATAAACCACGTTATGAAAACTGCTATTAACTTAAGTGAACTCAAATAATAATAATGAATGTGATGCTTGCTCAATAGTCACTCAAAATTAATTTACACAAGAGCGCCGACGCATAAAGGACTAAGTGATGCCAAAGCTAGTTCAGTCAATTTATTTACATCGCCAACAATTCTAACACCTAAAGGAATAAAAAGAATCAGGCCATGAGATTCCAAGGCAAACCGTCCGCGCCAGTTAACTGAATTTACTTCAAATTACTTTTAGGGCAAGGGGTGTGCGATAGACTTACCTCCACGTGGTGCACCCTGGGCAACGTATATTCATACGGCAAAAAAGTCTATAAAACGGCAGTTGACCTCTGAGTTCAAAAGGCATGATCCCACTGTATGTCATTTTCCACCACTTCCACAGTACTCGCCTCACCTTTTTCTACCTTTTCTAGCCCGTTTTTGAAACACTCTTCTGTCCCCTCCCTCTCGACTTTTTTGCACTTCGATGTTCCTTCCTCTCTGTGAAGCCTGAAGTCAACTAAAGGGCTAATGATAACTATCAGAACGCTTGCCATTTGATATAAATAATTAAATACTTTCAGGGCAAACCAAGATTGAGGGAAGCACAGTTGGAATGTTGAATGGGGAACAGCAGACGATAAAAAATAGATATAAGTAGCAAGATGAGTCTGAGTTACTTTTCCATTTGAACAAAAGTGTTTGTAAGACAGAAAAGTGCTGGCAGGATAACACGTCAAATATTCGTGATTAACGATACAGTTTAAGGCTTCAAAGTAGGGAATTTACTGCAATAATGCAACAGGAATCAGCAAAAAACTAATATATGTACTTAAATAATAATTAAAATTTTATAAGTTCAAGATTATGTAAGATTCTCCACATTCGCCAGACCTCGCGCCAACTTATTACAACACTCTCAGATCCAAATTCTAAGAGAAAAGGCTATTAAATTGCTATTCAAACTGAAAACTATCATTACATTCTTTTTTCAAAGATGGATCGAAAACCAAAAGGAGCAGTGGGAAAGAGGCGCAAATGATGATGAAGATGGTGTTATTTGGTATTGCATACATAATTTAAAACTGAATATAATTTAATGTTTTTTAATGTCCCATATCTAATTTATATTTATACTATTTACGAGGGGGGGGGGGGAATTCAATTTTAAATTAATTACTTGTCCAGTCTCTTTTCATTAGGTAAGAAATGGAACTGACGCCACCGAGAACGGTTATGCTTTATTGGTTTAGTGCATCTAAGCACCAATGAGAATACTTACTTCAACTCCCTTTAACGGTTTAACATGCCTGAAATACCCACAATGAACACTTCTGTTTTATTTTCAAAAAAAAATAGTGAAGACGCCTCATCTACAGTTCAGAAATGGGTTCGTCCAAAAGATCACCCAACAGAATTTTTGTCCTTCTTGGTGGTGTACTGAACTTCATCGGTCTGGGATACTACTCCACCGTCAGTACGTGAAGCGGACTAATTTTTTTGGATTAAACGCTCATTTAGGTTCATTCATTCCCACAATTACGATTTACTTGATGAGGCATAACTTTGGAGAAAATTCAGTTAACGCCAATTGGTTTCCAACTCTTATTTTGCTTACATCAGCTGCCATTATGCCGCTGGCAGGAATATTGGAGCGTCGAACAATATTCAAGGTTCCACTGCTCTTGTCGGCATTGTTTTGCTCGTGAGTGCAAATGAATTTGGGTTATCTCTGGCATAGATATCTATCAGTATGCAGTAAATTAAAGTAGAGTATTAAAACATTAAGTTAACTCAACGTTGGACAGCCTAGAATCAGGAAATTGTAAATATATTTGTATAATTCATCCGCGTGAATAAGAGGTGGTCTTTTCTGGATTTTCAGTGAATTTAGAAATTTATAAAATATCGTATTAGTAAACTTGATTTAGTTGTTCAAAGATGAATTTGGGGTTTGAGTTAAATGGAAATATTTTAAAAAGATAAAATTTGGCAGGATGAGTTTGGAAATTTATTTACTAAATAAGATATTGCTTTTTAAGTGGTCAAAGTTATAGCTCTGTTCCTGTAGCATCACCTCACACTTCCTCATGATTTTATAATTTAATTACCTACCTATCATAGTCAGGATTCGTCTTATTCCTGAAAGTTTAAGATTGACTTTTGTACTAGTTGCGTTCATGCGAAAAAAACATTTATTTGTATAATTTGAACATAGGCGTGGCAGTTTGATTTAAAATACCACACTGAACCATTAATGATTATTTTAAAATGAAGTAGCAGATGCACAAGTCTTAATCTTGTATTGAAACGAGCATTTCAAATTATTTCAAGACTAATAAATGGTGGCTTTATTTATAGCGTTTGGAATATAAAACAGTGCATCTTTCACATTTTCTCATAGGCTTGGAATTTTGCTATCGCATTTGAGTGTCAAATCAGGATACGCCTTCTTTACACTCACCTACTGTGTGATGTATGGTATCGGCTTCGGTTTGAATTTCCCCATCACACCCTCAGTGGTTATTGAGGTAAATAAACGTTTAAAATACTATTAAAAGTAATTCAATTCAACTAATTGACTATCCGAGTGAAAATGCTCATATTTAAACTGAACAAGTAAAGGGCATTTCCTAAAAAGCAAGATAAATTGGTTGTGATATCCTGAGTAAAATTTATAATAAAATTTGACAAAGATTATTTTTCTATTCTACTAAGATTAAAAAATTGGGAGAATATCCACAAAAGGTGAAAATATAGGAGAAAAAATGAAGGTTTAAACATAATTAGTAAATAATTTTTCAGGCATGAATATAAGTCTTGTGAGAGGATGTTAAATTGCATATGATATATACATTTTTTATCAAACAACATTTAACGTGATTTCGTTGCTGGTTAAAATGAGTAACCCCCAGTTATTAGCTATCTCAACAAGTGGCTGCTTAATTCAACCAATGCGAAATTAAATGCAAATTGTACTTAAAGTATAATGATCACAAATTGTGACTTCATGCATCTGCATTACTTTAGTGGTTTCCCAACCACCAATGCTTGGCATGCGGCTCAGTCTTCTCCGGTTTTGGCGTGGGGTCCATCTTCTTTTCTCAACTTCAAGCTTATATCGTTAAACCTCATGGATGTAATTTCAAATCTGTGTAAGTTTTCTTCATTCTGTTACAAAGCTCCTGAATATAGTAAGTAAGTGATCTATTTATATCAAACGGCAGGCTTTATGATAGTTATCATTAGCCCTTAAGTTGACCTCCAGGCTTTATGATAGTTATCATTAGCCCTTAAGTTGACTTCGGCCTTCATATAGGCGAAGACCAGTCAATGTCACAAAAGTCGAGAAGGAGAACTGAAGAGTGGCTCACAGATGTAAAAGAGACAGACAGACACAAAGGTAGAGAAAAAGGTAAGGTGAGTACTGTGGGAGCGGTCGAATATGACATACAGTGGGGTCATGATGGTTTGAAGTCAACTGCCGGTTTATGGACTTTTTTGCCATATGGGTATACATAGGCCAGGGTGCACCAAGTAGAGGTAAGTCTATCGCGCACCCCGAAGGGTGATTTAGTAAGAGCATTATAATCCCATAAATTTTCTGGAATTACTCTAAGTTTGGCGAGTAGAGTTCTTTTATATACATAAAAATCAGAGTAATCTCAAAAGAACTCT